ATACCATATAAAAAATAAGAGAGTATTTAGAGCCGAACTCAATTGACACCTACACAACTCTTAATATAGAGCATATAAACGCATGTTGGTGTCAATTTCTCTATTTTGATCCCAGAGTGCGTTTGACCCTGAAGTCGGCTGAGAAATTTAACCCGCTTTTGGGTCGGACCACAAAATGCGTTTGACCCGACAAGGCGTTGTTACAATCCATTCATTAAAATACTTTATATCTTTGGGTGAAATTAATAATATTATAATTATGAATACAAAGTGCACAATGTATCTAATATCTAAACAATGTTTGTTATTACCTGATACCCTATATAAAAGTTTTTACTGTTTTCTTAAATTCTAAAACACGTCCACGTTCGCGAAGTTGACGGTCAATAGTTTCGACTGTTTCCCTCGCGTGCTCTGACGTCATAGAGGATTCCCCCTTGAAACGTCCAACGATCTTGATCATCAACCAGACGTGACGTTACATAGCTAAAATGTTGTTAAATTGAGAAAGTTTAGTTATTAACAAATTCGCATAACTATTTTCTTGTTCCGTTATCCTACTGCAAGTATTGTTAAAACATTTACTGATCAGGAAATAAAACAGTTATTTCATATGTGATTCGGGAACAGTCAAACTGTTGTCTCTCGGCGTCGGGGATAGTGTTTTGAACTGTTGGCCTCGGCTTACGGCCTTGGGCAACAGTTCAAAATACTATCCCATCCATCTCGAGCCAACAGATTGACTGTTTCCAAATCACATATGAAATAACTGTATATTATTAATTTAAATTGTTTACATATTTCCGGCTTCGGTACAATTCCATCTTGAGTTAGGGGAAATGTCAAATTGCATTATACGGTGTTATATAATTATACCATATATAATAATGTGTAAACTTATAATAGTGTCTATTCCACAGATAATTGAATAATTGTTTAAAGGTAACTATGGCTAATTGTCAAAATAATAAAATGTATAGCAGATAATAAATCTAAATAATAAAATATACAAACAATAAATATCTGTATAATTTCTTTTTATTTCAACTTACTTTCTATTTCTCCATTTTTATTTTACTTCAACTAAACAGATACAGCTTCGACAATGATAATTGTTTAAAACGGCATGAGTATTATTTGTAATACTCGAGGCGATCAATTTGTTACATTACATTCCTATATTGACTAAAATAAATTTAAAAATAATGATTTAAAAATCAACATGTTTACGTTTATCATGGAAATTGGCTTAAAGCTAACGTACATATGTATCACGATGATAGAGCGTTTCCATAACTTTTCCACGCAATATGAAAGTGTCATTCTTCTGGTCGAAACACCGTACCTTTCTGGGCAAAAAAAGTTACCGCAGGCTACATTTAATTGCAGGTAATAGCTTATAAAATATCTTAAATTGTAAAAATATTCCATTTTTTCAAGTATTCCATCGAATTTTTCAAACAATTAATCGTTAATCCAGCATAACGCAATTCGAAAAACATTAGATACATGTATCTCGAAGAAATAGTGTTTACAAAAGGTCTAGTCGACCTCAACGTGACGCGTTCTTGTCACAAACATATGTCATATAACAACAATGTGTTTTTTTCTTTGACCTGGCGAACTCAATTATATATAAATGTTAAGCATGATTTCAAGATCCACAAAGACGGGTATGTTACTACGGTAAGTTTTAGAAAACGTTCGGATAAAAATGGCCTACTGGCGCAAATATTGGGGCACTGCACTTCATTGAACTAAATAGTCGCATTTCTTATTCCGTTAGACTGATAATAGTTGGCTACCTTTTCTTTTGCCCATACTTACTGTAGAATTAAAGACCTACTTACAAATGTGTTTTGTTTGATAGAAGGCTGATCAGTTGCAGGTTTATTAATACTGTAATGTTTGAAAGACATGAAGGACAAATGTTTGTCAAAATACTAGTTAGACAATGTAAGTAATTCTATGTTTTCGAATTTCTCCAAACGCATAAACCCCACACACGGGAAGATCTTTCTTCGACCGACGTTACCAAGATTGTGTTGTGTGGATTGTCTCTTTCAATCATATTCGCACACACACAAACAGAAAAAAAAAACACACAAAAATGAGGTGATGTTAGGGACGAATAATGCTTGTTTGTGACTAAGTGACAAAGTTGTACAATGCCTAAAAGCGTAAAGATCATACCAAATATATAAATGTAGGTTATTCATGTCGTATAACTTGTCCAATCGACAATAATGTATATATTTATATTGTATTTTAACTAAACGTACTAAAAAGGCGTTGTATTTCGTAATCAAAGCAATATATTTTCACGGTATGCCCCAACTGTTTCAACTATATTGACTGAGTTAGTGTATCATTTTGCATGTAGTAAAGAGTAATAAACTCAAATTTGATGACATTTTCGATGAAAGAAAAATCTTTGATTTCACCTTGTCTTTGGAAAGTTATTATCTGTTTCTTCTCGTATATAGACTTGACATATATTTTGTATGAAGAACAATACGATACCTCGGTCTGAAGTAAGACATTTTGGCGTTTCGCAAATGTTGTGCTAGACACCCTATCATCATGTATATGGTTCAGTTCAGTAAGAACATACATTGTACTGAAGTAAATAGTATATGAAACGACTACATGTATAATCGAATACAACTTATAGAGAGGATCTTGAATGAGTGTACGTTCAATGCTCAATAAATAAACATGAATGAGCATAATATTCTATCTATCACATCCCCCAAATAAAGACTGTATAAAGTTCAAAAGAATTATTTTTCATTGGATTGCCTGTAGTGTAACGCTTACATTTAGCGCTTTAGTATAACGCAAAAGGTTTCGCGTCAAAAATATTGGTTCGGCCGTGCAATATCATGTTTTAAGAAGTCGCAAAACGTCACTGGTACGTGATAAATTAATAGTTCGCATAACATGATAAGTGCTTACAAAGGCGAGGTTTTATGTATCTGAACCACTGTACGCATGGAAAGAAAATCGGATTAGTTATCCTGAGGCCTCTGGTTCGATTCTCGTATAAGACAAAATATCTCCATGATAGCTGGTCTCGAGCAATGAGTCTAATGATGGGAAATCGGTTTGGGACTAGTAAAGTTGTGAAGACGAAAACGGACTGTGAAATTTAGCTGTAAAGTACGAACTAACCCCTGGGGTTGTATCAAAATAAAAAAAGTTTGCTTCATGTTTTATTGATAATCATACAACTACGGTAAATGTAACTATATGTCAGTTTTTATTTTTTTACAAACAAAGAATTGAGCCGCGCCACGACAAAACCAACATTATTTGTTTGCAACCAGCATGTATCCAGACCAGTCTGCGCATCCGCGCAGGCTGGTCTGGATCCATGTTGTTCGCTATCAGTTTCTCTACTTGTTATAGGGTGCGTAAGCGTTTGTAATCGTCATTCAATAAATTGTCTTAGGTACCCATTGATTTTTGGAAAGAGGCCTCGGACTGTATCCTTAACGGCCGAGACACTCACGTTAGAGAAGCCAGATAGTGTTCTGTATGTCGGGTATGTTAGCAGCCAGAATCATAACGAGCAGCAAACGAAAGTGTATTGTTATTCTCGGAAAAGGGAACTAAATTGACAAGTTGAATTGTTATTAATTTTATATATTATCGTCTCATCTGTTCACAATTACAAACATTTCAACATAAAAGATAAACATTACATTGTATACATGTATATAGCCATTCTTTGAGTAGAATTACAAGAGACTGAATGTACAATGTATTTTACATATTTTACAATTAAAAAACTATAGTCTGTTATGTTATGTTATGATATTTATTATTATTATTTCAGTAACGATATTACAGCGCAAGAAAATAAACCTGTGAATACAACAGACGATGAAGTAAAATTGATGTAAAATCCTATTTACATGTAGCTTATAAAACAAACATAAAAATTGCAACTGGGAAACAGGTATGATACCGGACCGTCTGTTAACAAAACTAAACAAGTTGATGGCCAAACAACAGAAACAGATCTGGAACATTGACATAAGGCAATAATATTAATGTAATTACATTAATTGTAAAAATCGTTGTGTTCTACTTCGCAAGAATTTTGTTTTACAAAACGAAATACATGTTACCAAAACAAGTCATATTTGGGTACACGACGATTTAAAGGCATTTTTACACATGATTAGACTAGATTTTAAACCATTACGATCAATGTAATACTGGTTTCGTAAAGTACAACAATATTTTCCAAAAAGCAATCAGTAACAAAATCTTAGTATATTATAAACACTGTTACATGTATATGCATATGCATATTGTTTCAGAGAGCTTTTTGCGGCCATTGAAGACGCAGAACGCAGCCTTGTTGACAGATCAGCACCTGGACAAGCAGAACAGCCGAAGACACAGCTTGTAGATGGACAACAATCACAATCAGTCGATCAGGATCTAGCGACTGCATACAGCATCGCTCCCACCCGAGACATTTGCGACAATATGAGCTGCTGGGCTTTCCTCTTCTGAGAACGATAGTGAGGAAACCCCAAGAAAACAACAGGCGCAGACTACGCTACCCGCTCGATGAACTAGTCCGTGAAAATCACGAACTTTATAATTAATTTATGAAATGGAAAATGCCAAGACTTTTGAGAGACATTGGTTGTGATTCCTCTATTATATCTTATTAGATTGGTTTTTCTTTCAAATACCATATTAATAAAATGTATCTAAAAATCAGAAATTATTTGTATTAGACTTGCATACAGCTTAACGTGTTTTGAGAAATCCCCAAAATATAATGTATAGTTCACAGACCGCTTTCCAAGTTCATTGTCGTCCGCATAACTCAGGTAGCCAGTCACTTGAGTACTTGTTTCTTTATACAGGAAGGCAAGTTAATTAAATCAATATAACGCCATGATATAGCCAAAAAAGGTGGCGAAGTCAGCGTAAAGCAGAGAGAAATAAACACAAAGTTAGAATACATTGGACTACATTTTATTTTATGTATTGTAATCAGAATTCAAATGTCTTCAATAGTCGTAAATATATAGTAATTGTTAACATACATGTATTTGATTATATTCATGCTTGTTCTATCCCTCAATTGCAAAAATCAAGCCAACCATGTACATAATCAAGTGTGATACTCAAAAGTTTCTTATAAAGTTGTCAACTTGGTAATCGTTTTGGTCAATGTCGAGTGCTTTACATATATTCATCAATTTTCTCTTTACTTCTATCGGATTTGTACCAGACACAGAAACATTTCCAAACGGCTGGTCGTAAGTGGACAGATGCTCAAAACTATCAAGGAATTGTAGAAATGTGACGTCACCACATTCAATCATTTCATTCAATTTATTTTTGTAATGATCATCTGTAAGAAGTTTTCCATGTAAAGATGGTATAACCATTACGCCCATCTGTATTGTGTCTGTTGAAATTTTTGGTATTTCAGGTTTTATTCCACAAGAGATCATCATTGTATATAACATGATATCAATTCCGTACAATTTCATTATCCAATCCCTGAAGACGTAGCCACACATTCTTGGATTGATTTCTACAAGTTTTGGTCCGTTGGCTGTCATTATTAACTCAACATTGAACGTTCCATCCGTTAGACCTTTAAAAATATAATTTATAGTTACATACATACATGATAAGATCACTTATATATATATACGGTTGTTATTTTATCACGTACAGATTATTTGTACATATATTTGACACTCACTCACTCACTCACTCACTCACTCACTCACTCACTCACTCTCATGGTATTGTAAAAAACTTGAATAGTCGTGTATATTCATAATCACTCGGATAAGGTGTTATCATTTTCTGTTCATTATTTTAGATAATAGAAAGTCATCACTGTAGGGGATGTATAAATATGGAGAAAAGAAAACTGTCAAGACCAATAAAAATAGTTTACAATATCTATGTACAATCAGGTTTGGAATTTTGATCGTAGGAGTTGAGTCTAAATATTGTTATTTTATCTTATATTTTAATATAGATAGATTTTGAATAAATTTGATATTTACCTATCCCTAAGCAACATTTGAAGGCAGCGTCTATTAGCTTTTTACGGCTGTCGTCTGGTAGAAATGAAGGTAGACGTTTAGCAGTACCTAATGAGTGAAAAATGAAGGCAAAATGTTGTGTGTTTTTTAAATGTAGTCAAAGATTTTGCAGTATAAATTTCTTTAATTCCATCTTTGTTTAAAGTTAATTCATGCATTTCATTTATTAAATTATTCATATTAAAATGGTGTTAAGAGGTGTTTTGGCTGTACCAACTATGAAATAATTAGGTTTGTAGTATATAAAATTAGTTTCAATCCGAGCATTAATTCTTGTTGCATCATAGTTTTGGAACCTTTTTGTTAAGAATGTGTCGCAGTTATATATCGTATTCATATACATTTACAGTGAGTTACCTGGGGTGCAGGTATTAGCTACCCTCACTTCAGAGCTGGGGACAATAGGGAAAGAAATAACGATAGAAAAAACATATTCAAATGCTCGTGCATTGGTAATTATTTTCTGGGACGAGAGGAAATGCGTTTTTATTTGTGTATATTTGTGTATATGATACATAAAAGAAAGGTCATCAAGACACTCGGCAATCTGATTTATATATTTATATATTTACAAATCAGATAGCCTCCTGTTTCGATGCTCCTTCTATTACTCGTAAAGATGAACCAACATACTCCATAACGCGCGAAATTATTCGTATTATATTTAATAACATTTTAAACCTGACGTAGGTTTAAAATGTTGTAAGCCATACCTTAAGACTGTAAATAGTAGTAATTAGAGAAATTACCTATATAATATGGCTGTCTCACTACCCCGCTATCAGTTATAGATGCCCATACAAGAGTTTTGTCATACAAAATGACATCAACATTATGTTCTGTACCAGAGTGAAATTCAAATGTTGTCATTGAATTGCCGCGACTGAGTCCAATCCCGGGAAAGGCCGAATCTGTGCATAGAGAACTTGTTATTTGTTGATATTGCTCCTTCATTTCTTCTTTGCTTTTTACTTTGCAAGCTCCGATTCCAAATGCGCAATTGTCTAGTTTGAGTATAGCAGGAAACTTAAAACTGAAAGTAATAATTAAAAAAAAAAACACAGTTTTAAAAAGTCCTAGATTTATTCACATGCAGAATTATGTTATGAAGACCTAAACATTTTCTAGTTTTTGATTCGCAGCAGGAAACTTAAAGCAGCTTTCAGTTTTTCTAAAGGTTTAAGATGTCACTGACACGTCATAAACAGCTCTCGGTCGCTGTTTAGAAAAAAGTCTTAACGGTGATATGATGTAGATAAAAATCATAAATAAAATTCGAAGATAAAATCATTAAATACGGAATTGTTGTTTTTTTCCAACAGAAAATAAAACTAAAAGCCGCTCTAAAACTGAAGATGATAAAAATGGATCAATTGAACAAACCAGACGATTTAGCCTCAAATAAAAAGCAACCCTGAATATATAAAAATAAATTTATATATAAAAATTAAATTAGGAAATAAGATATAACGCGTAACCTTTCCGGTAAATCATCACAGTCCGAATCACTTCTTAGATGGACTGCCTTTGAAGAAAATACACCAGCATTTGACGCTTCAGTTTCATTTATGTTCATGCTCAGCACATTCTGTGTTTGTGATTTCGAGTTCGCTATAATCGCTGATTTGTAACTCAGACCTGAATGTTATTAAAAATAATATAACTGTTTATTAATAAGTCATTGCATAATACAGATAAGAATCAATGCTTAGAAGACCAATATTTTTATAAAGACTTTCAAACAAGCAGTAATTAAGCAATATAAAGAGATTTATAACTAAATTAGACAAACCCTCTGCTTAACATATTATACTCTTAAGGTAGTCTCTTAATGCTTTCCCGCCAAAACATTCTATTTTTGTTTTGTTTTGTTTTTCAAAATCGTGGGCATAAAATCATTAACAATCACTCATCCTTTATCGCTATGTACTAAATTCCGGTTATAAACGGTTAAAACGTATTGAATACCGAAGATTGTGAAATAAAAACGTTCCGTAAATGGCCGATATATTACGATATTGGCCGATGTTAGAATTGTTTGGCGGGATATCATTACAGTAAGACTACCTTAAGAAAGTTATCTACAATATGTATTGTTCAGCAAACAGGCAAGCATGTCGAATAATTGGTCATTAAAAAAAATCCTTTTGCAAAATTTCACGGATGATTTTTTATTTTTATAAAGTAAATGAAAGGACTGACAGTATTGAAATGGTTATATAAATGGCCTTGTAGTGTAGATGTTTGTAACCATACTATATATTTATTTAATACAATGTTAAGGCTTTGACATTTAAAAATGACGAGACGTCATTTAACAGAGAGGGGAAGTGTATGACAGGGTCTTATGTAGTGGCTTAAGCCCTATTCATTATTCTGATTTTATTATATTTTACAATGGTTAAATATCTATACTTTGTTTAAATTATTACAGTAAATAACCATAGATACACTTTAAATAATGATTTATCTCAAAAAGCTAAAAACTAAAAATGAATACCATACCTCTTAATTCTAATGATTCACAAATGAGTGCAACCAAGGGAGTTAACTTGTCTAGAAATGATAGACAACCATCAATCTTCATCCCCATACCATGTATCGTATTTATTATATTTTCGGCATGCATTTGGTCCCTCGTATGATCAGAGAAATCATACTCTATAAAACAATGCACAAGATCTCGTGCAATATGATTTGGATCAGATTCCACAAGTATGACCTGGAATCAGTAACGGTAAATGTATTTGATAAATATTTTCGTCCAAAATTAATAGCGCGACAAAAATTCAATCAAGTATAACCTAAAATAAATAAAAGTAGTTCTAAAAATGTTTGTGTATCAAAGTTCTTACCACATACATGTATGTTTCTAGCGTTTATCTTTTATCTTTTTTATTTCATCATCTGAGCTGGAATATGTAAACCAACCGTAATTTATTAACCTCTTACATTTACTACAATGTTATGGTATCTACAATTTTATGGTATCATGCAACCAGAAATTCAAGTTTGTATTTTGTTGTTGTTGTTGTTGTCGCTGTTGTTTTACAAACAGATCCTATACACAGGTACACGTACCTTTATACCGTATTTTTCAGCGTCCGGCCATAGGGGTCTCATTCTGTACGATCCACCACCAATAACAACAACGTGTTTTCCTTCCATCACTTGAATACCGTGACTTACGTGCTGAAACTGACGATTCAGAAAGGGTTATTATTCAGTGCAAGCAAGAGTTTTTAAGCAAAATAATCTTGGCATAGAAGAGACTTAGAGGGAAAATATGGTCAAGTGTCACTATCGCTGTAAGGCATGTCGCACTTTTGATTTCGGCTTCTTAATAAAGGTCTAGCGTTTAGACGAATTTTAAACTCTATGATTATTGATTATCGATTATTAAATATTTTTTTAATATTTGAAAGTGCTGTGGGCAAGTCCAGTACGAGTTTTGTGCGTTCATTCCGTAAAAATCATGATAATGAACAATTCTTTACAGGATGAGCTGTTTATGTGAATTATTGGAGTTTTTCAAGCAAATAAAAAGACAAAATCTTTTAAATTATAATTATTCATTCATTTTGACTTTTTATTTTAACTTAAAACTAATAGCGGAATGTACTAACTATTCAACCAATGGCACTCAAGCTACCACAGGTCGTGTTATTTAAGCCAATTCGTGCTATCCGATTGCCCGTGCACCGTTTTTCAAAATCTTTCTATGCGTCATCGTTATAGACATAGACAATTAATTGCCTCAATAATTATTAATGTGAGTATATCACTTTAACACGATACTGATTAAATTTCATGATCTACAACATTTTCTTTTTTTTTAATTTAAAATAAATAATGATTAAAAAGATATATATGTATACAAATATAAATAAATAAGTTGAAAATATTGTAATAAAAAAGGAAGAATATTAACAAAAAGAAAATAAATAAATAAATAAGAAATAACTAAAACAAATAGAGGATATTCCATTTTTTCTATAAATACAGAATTTATTTTCATCGAGTGGTATGAAAATAAATACAAATGTTTTTCATAAGTGGCGGTAGCCACGAGTGAAATATTATAATTTTCATACCACAAGATGAAAATAAATCTTGCATTTATAGAAAAACTCGAATGCTCTGTTTATTATATACATTTTTCTCTTTTTGACATTACAATTCGAAAGATTTTCCCTTAAATTTTGGTAATGGCAGATTTTAAAAGAATGTTGTCCGGCATGACACCAGTGAAAATACGGAAAATATGTTTCACTTCTGTGAAAAATAAATTCTTTACAGTGAAAATACAAAATGAAAACACACAATTTTTTTCATTAATATTTCTCAATATTTCATTTAATAAAATAAAATAAAGAATATTAACAAAAAGAATAAATAAATAAATAAATAAATAAATAAATAAATAAATAAATAAATAAAAATAAATAAATAAATAAATAAATAAATAAATAAATAAATAAATAAATAAATAAATAAAATAAACCCTTTTATTTTTCCTATTACTAACCTTTACTTTTACAGATGAAGCTGTACGGCATAAATCATATATGTCCTTAAATCGTCGGTGTTTTATAAGGTCAGTTTATACGACCTCCACAGTATGCAGCCGATCTCACAATAGTGATAGTAACTGACACCTGTAAACTTATAAAAAAAAATTATGTATAAAAAAATGGTTCGGTGCTTTTTGAACCGTGAATTATTACCATTGATTTGACAATATCATGTAACAAAGTACAATATTCAACTTAATTTGGAAAACAAGTTTTTACAAGATAGTCATGATCTAGTAATAGATAATTATGATATACTCTATATGATCCACTTGATTTGCCCATCAATTGTATATAAAGAAAATGCAAGATATATATAATATTTAGAATTTTTTTAACAAATGTAAAAATAAGTGCAAATAAATAATAAAAATTTTGAAATCAATTCAAAATTTTACCATGCCATTGAACCAGTTTGGAAATAATACCTATGTTCTTACAACTTACACCATATAGATGTTATTGCGTTTTTTTTGTTTTTTTTTTTTTGTTTTTTTTTTTGTTGTTGTTGTTGTTTACATTTTCTAAACAATTCATAGTAATGCGCATACGGTGCAGCGTGTACGCTAGCGTTGATATCAAAAACCAAAGTCCGACATACCTTGTAGAGTCTTTTTGTTGGAAAAGTTCGGGATGAAACTTTCTCTGTGTCGGCTAGCAACTCAAACTCATCTTGAACTATCGAAAATCAAAAATTCATACGTATTTCAAAGTTCAAGGCATAAAATATTTTCAATTTTATTATATTATTATCTATTAAAATTAAAAATATGAGTGATAAAATTAGATGTTAGGTAAATCTTACAAAGTAACAGTCTTCGTTCACGTACCTAATAATTTCATAGATTTAAAAGTAAATGTTTCCCAAGACATATATTTTACTAATTTCAAAAGAAGAATTTTTTTAATGAAAATTAAAACTAAAACAGACCGGAGAAGCTATTATATAGATTTTAAAGTTAAAACTCAGTATTATGTATTTAATGATAGCAACGTGAAAATTTTCAGACTTATTAAACCAATTGTGGATTAGCCTCGGATTCATGCAGGTTTAATAGTTTTTGGTTACTTATAACATACTTTATGCTTATTCCTAACATATGCAGGATAGAACAAAGCACATACAAAAAAATCGATGGAACCCAGGCTAATTTCGGGTAATTGTAGAACATCACTCATTTATGTGATACTTATGGTTTATTCATTTTTTTACCTCTAGAAATGAGTGTATTTCTAATTTTGAAATATATTTTGAATGCATAGATTCCTTCATGATCCTTATCTGCCTAATTCGAATTATCAGATTAGTGGATTACAGTAAGAATATTATCACAAAATATTTGTTAAAAAACACAAAAAGTTAAATAGTTTGTATCTTAAATTACAAGTTCTGCGTAAGTATTGTATAACATGTGTCAAATAATTGTTTTGTTATTAAGATTATCTGGGCACGTTGCCTAAACACCATGAAAATCAAATAACCAGATGAAGAACATCTGTACACTCTGAAAGCTATGATAGAAATAGCTTCAAATGGAATGCAAATAGATGCTATTGTCGATGCTGTTCAGTAAGAGACAGAGAAGATGAATTTCATTTAACGTTAATGCCCATGTTATACAAGAATTCGTAGCCTTGATATGTTTAAGATTTTATTTAGTAAACTTAAGTATGTATAAAAGTATTGCATTGAAGCAAAGTACAAATATTAGTTAGCTTCTTATATAAATAAGCAGTTTATTACAAAAACGGTATGTATCAGAACCTCTACATTAAATAATGTTCAATTATAGAGCAAACTGTAGATTTGATATTATTTTTTATAAACATGTTCATCCTAATTTGACTGAGTTTTGATAATAGTCAAGTTATATTTGATTGCATTCATTATTTGTCTAATATTATTACTACTTGAGATTTACATGCCGGTTTTACCGAATAATAATTAAAAGAAAAGTATAAAAGAAATGTTGTATTATTAGCTATTATTCTCGCCATAATAGTATATAAATATGATATATTAATTTTCCTGCTATCAACAAGAAAAAGAAAACCCATAATAAATCGCTCATTTACGACGGAAAAAAAAAACTATGTTTATTACTTGCTGTTATGTGATATGTAAATTTCTGCTGGTGAAATATTGCATTATCCACTCTATGCATGGATATCTTTATGACAATAGCCTGCCTAATTCGAATTATCAGATTAGTGGATTAAAATTTGAATTTCATCACAGCATATTTGTAAACAAACACTTGACGATATTTGTAGGTAAATCTATTGTTACCTATATAAAAGGTAGAGTAAGAAGATACGATTTATATTTAAAATGCTTTCTAATATCCACAGCTTTCTTACGTCGTAAATCACTTAATTCTTTAACATTACGTAAAATATTATTACGTGCATAACCTATCAAAGATTTGTCCTTAAATTTGCAATAAGAAAATAAATCCATGTGTGCTTTCCTTTTTAATTATTAATAATGTAAAAGAAACTTAAGTTTGCCAGTTCTCTTGTCATGAAACATGTCTCTCATAATTATGCCATTCTTTGTTACAGGTGATAGAGACATTACGCACTTTGAGCCTTGTAACACCGTACTTTGGGGTCAAACGCACTCTGGGGTCAAAATAAAGAAACTGAAAGAAATAAGTAAGAAATATGCTACATATCAACGCACTTTCGAATCCAGCACTTTTAAGGTACCAACTGAGTTCTGCATAAATACTGAGTGCTGACTTATTTTAGATCTGCAACACTGAAATATTTGAGATGGAGTCGATACTTATATACATCAATAATAATAGTCATTTAAATTCTGATGTTCATAGCAGCTATAAAAATATGTATTTGATGCTTAACTGGTAAGTGTTTTATTAATTTTATCACTTGAAATATCTAAAAATTGCTGCGAAATAACAAACTGCAATTATACTATAGTACTTAAATTGCGAATGTATTCCTACAAATTCAAAAAATATCCTGTTCTGTCAGCCATGTATTACATAACTTTTGGTGCCATATTTAACAGCATATTAAGTATGATGGGGTGTAATAAAATGCAAATAATGTCATCTCAGTGCATTTCAATTCCTATGTAAATGACTTGTAATAAGTAAGTTAGATATAAATTTAACATATACTGAAAAAGTTACACAAAGCCTTTTCACATTAATAATATGCCTTACATTAAATTTAGTAAATCCTCATGACTTCTACATTTGTCAGGTACCCGTCATGTAATTTTATGAAAGGAACTTATGCCTATAAGTATAAATTTAAACTTTTCTTAAATGTGCTTTAATATTTCCGCAACGACTTATTTTTAATCTGCGGCCATTTTGGGCGCCGTCCTGAGACTAAAAATAAACTGAAAGGACTAAAATTTGATGTAAACTTTAATTTTCAGCACGGGACAGTTTATATTTTGAATCTAAATAAACTTACATGTTATTTTGGGTGATACTTCAGGTTTTGGAAAACGTATCTGTTTGATGTACCACCAAATTCGCTGCCATTTTGAAATGAGACGAGATGTCTTTTTCCGCAAAATTATGTGATTGAAATTAATTCCTGCCATTATTGGACGTGAATTTCATTTAAATAATTCATTTTTCCTCTGGTGGCAGATTGACACAGCCTGAAATCCTTTCAATGCAAGTCTTTTCTACAACATTCAACATAGAAAAAAATATAATTAAATCCATTCAGAAAGGTTACCTCTGTTTAATATAACTAGAAATAGGGTAAATCCAGGTTTTTAATGGGTCCTTAACATATCATATCGTAAAATGAACAGGATTTTAATTAGATGGAAATATGTCTGACATGCAATCTCCACATTTATCGGCTTCATGGATATATATTTAATTTATTATTACACACAATACACATCATACATGTTTATGCATCTTACTACTTTGTGGCCAATATGAGACGAATAATTGAATATAAACATAATTATAATAAATTGAAACCATTATATATAACAAATTAAAATCATCGATCGTCTACTATTGTTAACCAACTTAATACATTTCGTCTTACATGTATTCGGTTACAATTTCTATTATTATAAAATATTAATAAATGAGTGACAACAAAATCAACTTAGTGTGTTTGCGACCAGCATGGATCCAGGCCAGCCTACGCACCCGCGTAGTCTGATCAGGATCAATTCTGTTCGCTTACAAACCCTATTACAAGTAGTGAAACTGATAGCGAACAGCATGCATCCTGACCAGACTGAGGGGATGCGCAGGCTGGTCTGGATCCATGTTGGTCGCAAACCCACTATGTTTGTTTTGTCGTGACGCGGCTCAAATTTCATTCTTATTGATCCCAAAGTGCAGTCGTTTGTCTGATGTCAAAGCATGTATTTGTGTAACGCACATTTTGATCAAATTTTGACATCAAAGTGCGTCACACACTTTTGGTTGGACCCCAAAGTACGTAACGCAAAAATTGTTAATTTGTATTTCGAACTCACACCTGTGTTTAAATATACTATTCTACAATACTCAGAATCCTCGCAAACGAAAGTGAGTAAATTCAGTGAGCTTATTTGGCTCATCATAATATGATAAACTAATCTGTCATGTCAGCAAATAGCAAATAGTATTATACCTCTCTGTTCTTATACTGGTTAATTTATTCAAGTCTATCATGCGAAATAAGTCTACAAGGACCTGAATAAAACAAGATAAAATACGCGGTGATCCATCAAACGATTCAGTATTCACACAGATATGTTTTACCAAGGGATAATTTTCTCCCTGTACTAGACAGGTTGGGTGGGACATCGGTTGCTGCTGTCGATGTGATTCTTCTAATTATAACTGGCTCCTTATAGATGTGCTTTTGCATGCATGGTTCTCTGTAAATCCCAATAAAATCCATGTATTTTGGACCAGAAATAACTCCTTTTTAAGAAGTAAAACATTTTTATACTGAAGTAAGTTTTTGTAGCTTTGCAACATCTTATCATCTGGAACTTGATGATACAGTTCAACAGTTCATACAGTTATACTAAAGGAAATGATAATTATAGATCAAGAGTGATGTATTGGCACAAAATC